CCGCCGCCGCCGCCGCCGCCGCCGCCGCGGGCCCTGCGCTCAGCCCCGTGCCACCTGTGGTCCACCTGACCCTGCGCCAGGCCGGCGATGACTTCTCCCGTCGCTACCGCCGCGACTTCGCGGAGATGTCCAGCCAGCTGCACCTGACACCCTTTACCGCAAGGGGACGCTTTGCCACGGTGGTGGAGGAGCTCTTCAGGGATGGAGTGAACTGGGGGAGGATTGTGGCCTTCTTTGAGTTCGGTGGGGTCATGTGTGTGGAGAGCGTCAACCGAGAGATGTCGCCCCTGGTGGACAACATCGCCCTGTGGATGACTGAGTACCTGAACCGGCACCTGCACACCTGGATCCAAGACAACGGAGGCTGGGTAGGTGCATGTCTGCTTGAATGTGGGCTGGACGTTACTGATCTGAGGCTGAGAATCATGGCTGAGTGTGGGTGGGCTTTTGGGCCAAGGGCAGGCAGGCTGACGAGCCAGTGAAATAAAGTCAGATTGCCCGCCCCCGCCCTGCCCGGTAAAGAGCTCTCTCCCCGCCAACCCTACTCTTGATGATCCCTTTTGGCCAAAAGTGGTTTTTCCTCGCTTGCTATCCGTTGAGGTTTAAAGACCCAGCATTTGCAATTCGGTGGGAGCTCTGGGTAAATGGTATGCCTTCAGGGTTTCTCAAACCGGGGGCCCAAGTATCCTCGCCCCCACCCGGGAGACTACTCATGAACTAGACGTCAGGTTGGGTTGGCAGTCCGCATCCTGGCCAAGTTCCCCTGGGGGTTTGTGATTTGTACTAAAATTGGAGAACCACCCAATTAGAAGAACAGACCTCACCAGAGGACTAAGGGCATGCCTTTTCTGACTCACTTGGTAAAATCTGCCCAAAGAGGAAATCTGACGTAGCCCCCTTCCCTGGAAAACTTAGCTGTGTTTGTAAGGAGGTAAGCTGGCTTTCCAAACGTCCGGGAACTTCATCCCGCGGCATGTGTGCGGTCATTCCCAGTGGGCACGGCTGAGTGTCTTCAAGAACACTGGGCTAAGGAAACCTTATCTCATCGGTGACACGGTGTGTCCTGGCCACATGCTTTTTGTGTTCTGTTTCCATAACCGGTGTACGATTTTAAAGTTTGCTGTAATTGTAGTATTTTTACTTTTCACGGGCTAGAGTCCGCATCCTTTGGTGGTCTCCTCTCCTGAAAAAACTTGCGTCTACGATATCCATAAAAGTGTAGAAGATTTGTGTGTGTGATTCTCTGGGGGAGGGGTCCAGATCCTAAGACTGAAGAATTGTCATTGAGATCTACATCTTCTATCTAAAATTACGAATTTAGGAAAAAAGCAAAAGGAGTGATTCTTGTCTAAAAATTGTTTCGGGCTTTTTGTTTTAACTTGAAGAACGATTTATGAGAAAGGATGCAACTCAGTGCTTCCTTGTATGTAGTCTCTAGGGAGAATTAGTGATATTATTTTATAGGACCTAACAGGAGCACAAAACCTAGAAGTGACTCCAAGTGGATTCAGTTTCAAGGAGCACATTACATATTTTACTACAGTTTACAAGTGTGCTAACATGAAGGCCAAGAAAAAAGAGAAAAAGCCCAGAAAAGTCGATGGCTGACATGAAAATCTGATCCTACTTGGTCAAAGTTGACCAGGTATTGGTGCCACTGTTGAGTGTTTAAAAGTAAAAATATCCCCATTTAGATCTCTAAAATGTGAAATGCTCCTCATGAATTGTTTTGTCGAGATCCCATGTTGTCAGATCTTTAGTAATTCTGGAAGAATTCACTAAAGGGCCAAAGAATATTTTCTTAAATGTTTGGTTGAGTAGGTGGTTTTATTTTTAACCACCATCACCAAAAAGGTACAGAGTTCCAGACTCCAAAAGGATGGTTTTAAGACCAAAGTAAAACTGATTTGACAATTCTCTTCTGTATTTTTATGAAAAAATATTTCAAAAATTTCTTTCTGGCTGAAAGGAACCCAAGGTGGTAACTGTCATCTATTAAGTAATTTAATAAATAGAAAACAGAGCCATAGACATATGTTTATGATAGAGATTAAGACATGACCTGGTCTTTGTTTTGTTGCATTGTAGTATATTAACGTCTCATACAACTGGGTTTTCATTTTAAGTGAAGGCTCACTTTTAACTCCTTTCGAAATAGAGTTTTCCTGGGAGAGCCTATCTTTGTGGTCAACAGGTATCTGAGATTGATAAACGTAGAGGCTATATTTTATGATGCCAAACCACAATGACATACCGTAGAAAGTGATAAAAAACACTTTGACAAAACCTCTTCCAGTACAAATAAATCATATAGAGGCACAAATAGCTGTTGATAAAATGCGTCGTTTTCAGGACAACATGTAGATGGATGGCTCTTTAGGAAAACAAGGGAATTTGGCAAAAAAAAAAAAAAAAAAGGGTATATGTCAGGAAATGTAATCATAAATGGACACTTTGGAATAAAAGTGCTAGCATTTGAGAGTTATAAATGATTTACGTATCCTTTCATATTAAAATACTCCGAATACCAATGGTCAAGTTTCAGAAGAGAGCTAGTACATTCTTCTGACCTTTGACAATGACTCGTGTGGTTTCTAGGCCTCAGTGGATCAGATCCTCTGTTGCACATGTAATCATGGGGGCTTGAGATTTGAAGTCCCTTTTTCTCTTTGCTGCTCTTGACGTAAAATCAGTCTTCTGAGATTAAGGAAAACTGTGTGTGTTTCATGTTCCATAACTTGGAGAAAGCGTCTTGGAATGATAGGCGTCTGAGAGATAGTCGCAGAAGCCTACAAATCAAATAAAGACTAAAGAAGAAATTGAGTTAGAGTGGAGTGTGGTTTTATTCCTAAGTCCGAATACGGCACCGTGTGGCAGCAGGACAGAGGGAGCCCAAGACAGTATCGGTTCTGGGAAATGTCTGAGGCTCTGCTACTCCAGGTGTGGTTCACAGACCGACGGCAGGAGCATCACCTGGGAGACCGTCAGACGTGCAGAATCTCCATTCTCACCCCACAGCTAATGAGTCTGAATTGGTGGGTTCACGTGAGATAGATAGAGGCTTTCGGGTGCACGTGAAAATGAGAGACGTTGACTATTACCTACCATTGGTTCCTGGGGACATCTTTTGGGAAAAATGATAATCTGGGGTGGATCCTACAGCGTCCGATTCCAGTGGCCTCACAGGTTTCTAGTATTGCCTAGAATGCTGAGTATTTCCCAGATGTCCACTAGTGTGATCTGATCCTTGGAAGAAATAAGTTGGAACGAAAGAGAGGAGATAATTTACCGTAAGCTCAGTCTTCTCGAGAATGTTTTTCATGGTAGCTGTGCGGTTTGTATTGGCATTATTGGTCTCAATGAAGTGACATCGCTTTTCTATTCCAATCAAAGGCAGGCAATTTAGCTCTTGATAGCTTCATTAGTTATTATTTCACCCCCTCGTATAACATAGTTTGAGTTCTATAGGTGCATTGAGTGGCCCTCAGATTGCTTCAAGGGGAGGGGGCTCTTACAGTCAAAGCGTTGAGATACAGGAAAGTTGATGGTGAGTGAAACTGATATCTCCCTCCAGGCTGAGAAATGAGACAACATTTAGCTTCATGTCCCAGAAGAGAGTGAGGTGTGGGCTCCTAAAAGAAAGAGGGGGCTTAACAGGAGATTAGCTTCATTCTGTTGATGAGATGGTGGTGTTGTGACTTTTTCTTTTTTCTTTTTTTTTTGTCTTCTGGTCTGTGTGGTTTAGGACGACAGGAACTTACTTCTCCACATCCAGTAGAGGTTAGCTTCCTTTTTATTAGTTGGTCAGCAGACAGTTTCTGCCTTCTGTGTGCAGTCCAAATCTACCAAAACATTTGATTAATTGGAAAGCAATACCATGCTCATGCCAGTGTGCAAAATACGTGAAAAAGCATCATTTATCTAGCGGCTGAGTATCAGCTGCTTATGGCCAAGTTGGCAGCAGAATGATAGGGATTAAAAATAGTCTGAAGATGATCCAGCCTTAAATAATATTTTTAATGATGAACTTTCCTTGGGAAAGTGTGTTTCTGCCTGCGAAGAATCACATGCTTCCCGGCAATAATTTACTTTGTAGAAAAAACTACATTATCGCCCCTCGAGTTTGCAAGTCACGTGCTGTTGAGTGATTATGTTTCGGGACCTTTGTAAAATTTTATGGTTCACTTAGTTCCCTTTTCTGTTTTAGGGCTTTTGTTGCTATTTAATGTCTGTTAAAAAAACGTGGCTTTCTTTTGTGAATCTTGTTACTTTTCGCTGTGCTTTCTAGTGAGAACTGATTGATCTTTTAGCAATCCTTGATGGAGCTGGTACATTTCAGATTGCTTAAATGTCATTGAGCCACACAGCACATCAGGTAACAGAAAGCCACAATTTTTTTTTTTTTTAAAGCAAACTCTTAAAGTCTTGCCTTACCTCTACTTCCAGTCCTAGTCAGCTTTTTGGAGGAAGGATAAAGTCACTCGTAAGGCAGGTGTGTGGGTGCTGTGTGTATTACTAGCAGTCGCTCCCAATCAGTTCACCCCACGCCCATTGCTGAGGTCAGTCATCAGGTTTTAGCAATAGCTGATCAAGGCAGTATCTTAGCACAAGTGCATTTGTGCTGGAAAAACAACACTGTCTTTGTAGTGTACAAGTAGAAAGGTTTTCCCCCCAGAGATATATTGTATTTGAAGTTCAAAGGTTCCGTTAAACCTTTTTAAGGTAATCTAATATCACCTTATTCAGGTATAGCCATAACCTCGAAAGCTGGTCACCCCTTTCCCCCAGCTACATACAGGAGACCACTCAGTGAATTTACTTCACTCCGAAGCTTTTCTTTCATTCTCCTTGGTTTGATTCAAACAATATTAGCGTTTGACATCTAAACAGGATTAACACTGAAAATCATCCAAGGACTAGGACAGTTGTTGGACAGACATGATTGCAAGGCTTTATGTGCCTGGCCCTGGGTTGGGTTGAGGACACAGGAAAGAGAGCTTTACCTCTGCCCTGGATGACCTCACAGGCTCGTGTTGCAGGTGTCTAAGTAAACTCATAGGTACACGCAGCCCTATAAACACGATCCCGGATTCTAGGATTTAGAGAGAAAAAGGAAAAAACAAACCAACATATATTATTCTGCATACACTTCAGTCATTATCTAAAAAAGTTACTTCTAACTTTTAACAACCATATGGCTGTTCACGTGTACATTAGGATTTCCATAGGAGGAGAAATGTAGATAATTTAAAAAATACAACACAAACACTTAAGAAGACTGAAAGGCGGGGGGGGGTTCCCTTGTTAAATGTTTACCCATTAAGCACTCTTAGTACACATTAAGAAGACTTAATAAACACCTGTCTTC